ATCTCTCTCTCTCTCCCTCTCTGTGTTTAGGGAAAGACACACTCACCTCTATGTAGCATAAGTACATGTGATTGTTAGACTAGAGGCATGCCTACTTATGTGATTTCTATACTGGGCTTATGGGTATATTTTTATTTTTTATTTTTTTCGGAAAAACTTCCAATCTATTCATTTTCAATCATGGCAGTAAAACGAATACCAGAAATAAAAATTACATCCAGATTCATAGACCACATAGAGACGACTACAAGCACCGAAGCGAGCCGAAGGCGCGCTGCCGTCATCGCCCCTTCATCACCGGAGCCAGGCACAACTTGTTGTAGTAGACAGTCGGGAAGTCGTTGTGCTAAGACCCCATAGGACCAGCACCTCAGAACAGCAATCGCCGCCGATGAAAAATAACGTAGATCGGAAGGATCCAAACCGAAGACACACGAACGTAGACGAACAACGTCGAGATCCGAGCAAATCCACCAAAGATAGATCTGCTGGAGACACACCTCCACACGCCCACCAAGAATAGAAACTGCACCGTGTGTGATGTTGTTTTTGGTGCACAACAGTGCTGCAAAATGGAGTCCCAGTTCGATTTTTTCTTTCAGTTTGTCTAATTCACATCTAGATGTTTTTTAAGAATGTCACATCTAACCTTTCGTAAATATATAATGCAGCAACAAGAAACAAAAAAAAACTAGGACAAAAAAATAAACCACAAACAGAGTGGACATCAGTTTAGATGCGACATAACTATGTCACATTTAGATGTGTCTTAGACATACCCTTTTCCTTTTTCTTCTTAAATGTCTACAGTCGTACTGTGCTAGTAGTATCTTTTTGTATACAAAAATGCAGTCTTGTCTACAGTACAAAGTGTGCAACTGTCGATAGCATCAGGCACAAACAAGGAAACAAACCATCCTCTGCTCTGCTCCCCTCTCATACTATATACGAGCATTAACGGTGGTTCTGCCGCCGATGTAACATGCAGACAACGGAACATGAAAGCAGAGCTCTTCTACTAAACTAGAGAGCATAACTGCGCGCAAAATTGAAACAACTTAGCAAAGACCATACTGATTCCTGAATAAGAAATAGGTCAAGTAACTAGAGATGTGAATTAAGTCAAGTCGCTGTTCATGACGAAACAGGAACAAATACAACATTAATCAGGTAATAACAGTGTTCTGTTTGTGGAGGTCACACTCCACATCGGAAATACAGATAGGGCACATACGGGAAACCATCGTATAGCTGAATCACAGCTTAGATCGGTGCTCCAGTTTTATCAGGGAGGGAGAGATACATGTACGGGAAGTAAGGATACCTTCGAAATTAGGAAATAATACCAAGACATGTCAACTGCTCGTAAACTAAGCAGCATGCATAATCACCATAAGAGTTTTCCATCAACAACGTCCCACCTGCAAAAAGGAAACAAAAAAATAACATGAGTGCAAGCTGTTGATCTTCAAACTGTTATTCCAAACAAAAAGGTAGTTAGGGGATAGAGCAGAAACAATGAATAAGCTACCCACAAAAAAGAAACAATGAATAAGCTAGAGGGCGTTTTTACCGGCATGCTCTTTGCAACACAGATATTTGCACGATAAAGTAACTTCTGAATGCAGATAGTAGTACAATAAAATCCTAAGAAAAGAAAGGAAAGGAAGACAAGAGGGGGAGGGGGCAAAGTTACGATACCTCACATGCTTTCCGCCGCAGCTCCTTCAGTGTGTTGTCATCTTCAGAGATCAGGGATGCGTCGTATAGTTTCAGGACACTGAGGGACGAAAGGTGCAGCAACCCCTCCGGTAGCTCGCTTATCTTTTGACACCACCAAAGTTCAAGGTGAGAGAGTTTTGGCATTGTCCCTAGTTCCATCCTCCACTCCTCCATGGAAAAACTACGAAGCTTTAACTCTTGTAGACGAGGAAAGCCTTGGGCAGAGCAAGACATAGTACGACCTTCATAACCTCTCAAAATGAGCACCACAAGAAAGGGAAGCTTCTCCAGGATCGGCATTGGGTCTTGGTTAATGACATCAGCAGATAGATGGAGACGTCGTAGGCTTTGTGGGAAGTGATGGCTCTCGGGCAACTTACCAAGCACACTGAATCTGGTGAGGTAAATATCTACTAGTCGAGGCATGTTGACAAATATATTTATCATCTCTGCAGGGACTAGGCTCATGCACAAGAAGAGGGTTGTCAATTGAGTCATTTGGCCAACAAAATTCACCATGCCATTCCCGAAATATTTAGTTCCAATAGATCCAAGATCTAACCATAAGGTCATCAACTCTTTTTGCTGCACATTACTTGGTGGAGGGAACACGTTACTGAGGTAAACATGCCTTAAAGTAGAGATATGCCAGAGGGACATCGGTACTGCTTCCTTCAGATATGTGTTTCTTAAATCTAAATTTTCCAAGTTAAGGAGTTTTCCAATTGAAGTAGGAAGTGCCACATGCCTACATGCTCTCAACCTAAGATATCTTAGGTGAATGAACCCATCAATTGCACAGAAATCCTTTAGGTCCGAGTTTTCAATGTGAATTACTCTCAGAAATCTGAGCTTAGGCAGGGACACTGACGAGAGTCTAAAACCAACAAGAGTTTGGGCATTAGGTGTTGCTTGCAATATCTGACCAGTAATGTTTTGAAAAGAATAACGATAAGATATCATGGTATCAGATGATGAGGCGCCAACTCCTGAAAGATTTTACAGTGCATCCACATGTTAGCAAGAAGCCTGATAATAGTCAACATGTATTGTAAATTTGTAATCCAAAATGGAAGTGCAGATGACAAGATTGGAGGAAGCCTAACTTGTTGTATTGTCAATGGCATTAAGAAAACCATCTTGTCTTGCTTCTTCTACACACCAGTCACGTAGAATATCATGAATTCTTATTGTTTCAATCCAGCCGTGTGCCCTGCTTCTGGAAACAACTTGGACCAAGCTTCTTTGAGCCAACTCAGTCACATACTTGCGTGCTGTTTGTTCTGGTGTATGCTTTAACATATGCGGAATCAAACTTTCTGCTATCCATATTTCAATAAGGTCTGAGACATCTATTTCAGAATCCTCACAAAAAGCGGCAAAATAGAGGAAACAAGATCTGAAATAATGACTTGGGAGGTCTTTGTAACTGCGAGCTATTATGGCTCGCATCATCTGTCCATTTTTGGTTGATGACCAATCCAAAAGCATATCAGACCATGCTTCTGAATTTAGATTCTTTGATAGATAAGCCCCCAGAACTGCAAGGGCCAGTGGTAATCCATTACATTTCTTTGCAAGCTTTCTCCCTAATTCTTCAACCTCTTTGACGTCACATATGGAGGACCTTTTGTATGATGGTAACGCTCTGCTACTAAAAAGTTCCCAGCTTTTCTCATCATCCAAGTGCTTTAGAACATGAACATGAGTCTGCATTTGAATATGATTCGCAACATCTTTCTTTCTTGTGGTTAACAAAATTCTACTTCCAGTAGTTGCATCTGGAAAAACATTAACCATTCTACTTATTTGCTCCCATGTATCTGTTTCCCACACGTCATCAAGAACTACGAAGTATCTTTTATGCAACAGAAAATCATGGATCTTCTTTCCCACCTCGTACTCCTGCGTTACATCGATGTCACTAGACTCATCTGTGGTTCCTATTATTTGTTTCATAATATTATTCAGTAAATCAATGCCCTTGAACTTTTGGGATAAGGTCACCCAAGCAATTGCCTCAAAGTGTTTCCTGACCGTGGATGAAGTGTAGACTTTTCTAGCGAGTGTTGTTTTTCCCGCCCCACCCATGGCAACTATTGAGACTGCAGTAAGCATGTTGTCACCGCTAACTAACTTATCCACTATTTCTTTGTGCTCATCCTCAAAACCAACCATGACAACATCATCTTCAGAGTTCTGGTTCATAAGACCATTATCTTGTGGAAACTCATAATCAACCACACCAGTATTATCCAAATCAATTTTCAGATTTTCTGCACTCGCAAAGATCTCGCTGAGCTTCCTTCTTACCCGCTGAATGTCAGCACCAATTTTATGGAGGGTAATCAAGTCGGTCGGTAAGCGAGCATACCTTGAAATGGCACCTATGAACCCCTTTTTGATCCTGTTTCTCTTCTCCATGTAATCAGCTTCTTCGATGACATTCTGAGCCTCGTATGCCGCAGCCCTGATCTGGGTGACCAAGATAGCAACTCTAGCATTTCCTAATCTCCATTTGTTGTCAGCATCTTTGAGGTAGGCCTGAATCCGCATCAGCTCATCTTTCAATAGCCCCACTTCAAGGGTGACTCCACACAAAAATATAGTCTCCTGGACTGCAAGATTACCCGCGCTCCCCAGCACAGCGCTAACAGCCGACTCCGCCATTGCTCCCCGATTCTGTAGATGGAATGTCTTGTTGCACTCAGATTAGCTGGCACCTCCCATTAGCTTTCAACTTAAATGCAGTTAACCAAGGCCGACCCTGAAGGGAGTGAGAACTGAGAACAAGTACTACCGAGGAAGAGAAGGAGGGCAAGGTGGAACGGGGCGGAGAGACTCACCGATGAGATCCACTTGGGTGCAGACTTGGGGAGACGGGCGGCGCGGCGGGGGCCTGCAGATGCAGGGATCGACGGCGGCGAGTGTGGCGCTGGGGGCACGGTGGCTGAGATTTGTGATTGCGAGTCAACGCTGCGGAGGAGGAGGTTTCCCCTCTCCGTGTGTTCCTTCGCGGAGTTGGCAGCTCAGCTCAACACGTAGACATCTTCAAAATAAAATAAAAGCTCCTCCTCCATTTCCTTTTTAGTCGGCATTTTAGATTTGTCTTAAGCCAAACTTTATATATATTATGAAAGTATGTATTCTACAATGCTTGTAATGTTATAAATTTGGTATTAAAAATGTTGATATTTTTTCCATATATTTAATTTGATTGAACTTTACAAGTTTAACTTTAATCAAAGCTAATATGCAGATTAAAAATAACTGGCGCCCTGTAAGATAAAGACTAGGTGGCTGCAACTTGATAGTCTCTCCAGTTATTTTCCCCATGATTAGAATTATCTTTTTCACCCATTGTGTGTGACAACTCTTAAGAGCATCTCCAAGGGCCACGCTTCGCGCCGCGTGCAAAAAACTTGTTTGCCGCGCGCGCTTCTGCCGGTTTAGCGCGGCCGCCAGCGCTGGCTCCAGCATCCGCGCTATAATGCAGAGCGCGCGCCGCTCCAGCAGCGCGCAAAAATACAGCGCGCGCAGCACGCACAAACCACATATACATTTCAAAAAAGAGGAGCAAAAATGATCAAACAAAAAAAATCAACAATAAATAGTTCAATTTCGTTATCATTACAACTCAAACAGATAGTTTATCGTTCAGTACAACAAATAATGCAATAAACATAATAAATAGTTCATGAACAATATAATATCGAATGCAGAAATCATGCTCTTTGTCGTTCATGCCATGCGCATCACTCTTCAATCAGATCATTCTGAAGTTCATTGTGCGTTGCGGGACGCCGAATGGCATGATAGGAGGCAATAAAACGGGCTACCCTTTCAGCCCTCCGTCGCACTCGCACGGGATGTCCCAAGAGCTTATACTATAAGTAGTCTAAATCTTGGCCACGCTCATTCTCGATGATCATGTTGTGCATGATCACAGAAGCGTGCATGATGTACCAAAGCATTTTTTGATCCCAAAATCTAGCCGGTCCTCTCACAATAGCAAATTGGGCTTGCAAAATCTCAAATGCTCTCTCCACATTTTTTCTAGCCGCCACCTGAGCATTGTGGAAATCAAGATTTTTCTTACCTTCCGGCTTTTTCAACGGCTTCACGAAGGTTTGCCACTTTGGATAGATGTCATCTGCTAGATAATAGTCATAGTTGTACGTACGGCCATTTGCTACAAATTGCACCGGTGGCAACTCACCGTTTGCAATCTTATTCATCAGTGGTGACCGGTTGACAACATTGATGTCATTCAAAGATCCAGGCATTTCAAAGAATGCATGCCAAATCCAAGTCTCCTGATCGTCCACCGCTTCAAGGATTATAGTGGAACCCTTTTTTTGGCCGTGGAATTGCCTATGCCATGCCTTTGGACAATTCTTCCAACTCCAATACATGCAATCTATTGAGCCAAGCATGCAATCTATTCTCCAACTCCAATTCCAATGCATGCAATCTATTCTCCACGAAATAGTTCTTCATCAATCTGTTATGGGCATCAATCATATCTCTCCAAATTTTCTCCCGACCCATAACCGAACCACCGTGCTTTGGTTTTTTATTGGTATGCATAGCTATGATCATTGCAAGATCCTCCTCCTCTTCCATATCAAATTCTTCTTCGGAAGAATCATACGACAAACTCATCTACAATGTTCAATACTATACTATAAAAACTACAATTCAAAACATGCACCAAAATCATGAAGTTTGAGCAATACATACCTCGTAGGCGTTTTGTCGAACACCTTGCGGGCGCGGCGCGGCAGCGAGCGCTCGGGCACTGTTCCTCGGACAACGAAGGCACACGAGGGCCGGCAGGACTAGGAGGGGATGCGGCGGAAGCGCGG